ACTTTGGAAATGATCATGCAGACAATGGACTCCGGACTAGGTGCGTTCCTCTAAGTCTTCCTACCAACATAAACAAGTTGCGAAAACAAGGTCAAACAACCTCTATAAATAATTCTTATTTAAATAGAGTTTCTAGACTACCAGTAAATCAGTAATATGAGATGTATTCACCCAATTTCGTTTAAGGTGATGAAGGACTGGTAGTAGAATTTCCCCACAATGATATGAGTAGAGCTGACGTTTCCGTTGAATTTCACATAGCCTTGCTTTTTCAAAAGTTGTTCTCATCCAGGCATCAGTGGACTGCAGTTTTTACCTCACATCGGTCCTAGCAACACCCCCAGCGGGTGTCGAACCGTGACAGTGCTCAACTTTCTACCACCATTCCTCACATTCAACATATTCTATAATCTATTAATTTTAATAGCCTCTTATATTGCGTTTCGTAGCAAACATACCACAATCAGCAAATCTCTGCGTACGAGACCATTCTATCTCATGCCCAGTCTCCGTATTGTCTCCCGCCACTTCTAATCACTCGACCCAGCTTCCTTTTCAAGCATTTTTGAAATCGGCTAATCTTTGGCGGATAGGCCTACAGGTCTCATCTGCATTTAAGCTAGTTGGGATAAGAATACCTTTTTAGAAGCAAGGCTTTCTCAAATTTTATAGACACATGAGGTCTACTCATGTTGTTGTGAGAAATGCAATTAATGCGAAGAAAAGTGGGGTTTCGAGCAATCTCTTGTTTCATAATTGTTGAGCTTACTTCCATTTCGAGTGAAAATGTTTGGTGAAGAGATCCGAAAGTCAATTCCACCAGAAGACGACGGCGGATTCCTCTTGATCAGCTGTTGATTGGCTTTACTGGAAGATTCATGGTAACGCTGTTTCCGAGGTAATTTTTTTCGATTCCGGTGAAAAGGTGCTAAGCTTTCGTTCGTCATATGACGAACATCATCGGAGCAAGCTATCATCATCACAACAAAATTCAAGCTAACGGGTTAGGAAAACTCACCGGCAAATAAGCGGAAGAAAGCTTAGCACCTTTTCATCAGAATCGAAGGAGACTACCTCGAAAGCAGCGTGAGCATGAATGTTCCAGTAAAGCCAATCGACAACTGGTCAAGAGAATTCCGCCGTCGTCTTCTGGTGAAACCGACCTTCAAATCTCTTCACCAAATATTTTCACTCGAAATCGAAGTAAGCAGAAAAAAATGCAATTATCCGTCCTTCATCACCTTATTCGGCCCAGAATGAATACAGTCAGCAATTGTGAAACATAGTCAAAACGAATCAGGATTGGCTTATTGTCTAGGAAGATGGTCTGATAGGTGAGTCATTGGATTTGTGGGTTGATTGGCTTTATGCTTTATATGTGATGAGATTTTTCAGAAGATGGATTGTTACTGAGCCTTTTGCTGTTTAGAATCATCTGGACTATGAAATTTAATTGCATTCTGTGACCTACTCGTATCATTATTGGAAAAATATCTAGCTCATTTGGCCAAGAGTGATTACATTTAACTTTGATTAGCTCTGATAGTTTCTAGGCTTACTTAAAATAAATATAGAATAAAAGGCCGGCGCAAAATTTAACCTTCTCCGTGATTCTTTCTAGCCACACGTTGATATTCTTTCACACCTATACGGATTCCAAATGATATTTTGGTGATGGGATTTTCGAGGGTACAAATATGTTTTTACCACAATGTTATCCTTACATATTGAGCATGTCTCGAGGCTAACCTTATATTCTGAATAATATCTGGATGAAGAGAATTTTTAAGAGGCATGGCCCAAGGAAACTCTATAATATGGTGATCCCTTGTTGTTGCATTTTTGGAATAAACTAATTTACATGACCTTACACATCTTAAGCCGAATAGGTGGACTAAATTTTTATTCAATAATTGATTGAACCTTAAAATAGATTCATACAGAATGTAGTATCGTTATTTTTAGACTATCGGTATTGTTCGGTCACTTGAGGCACTTCAACAATTGGTAGTTGGCAGTAGAGGAATTTGTAAAAATGGTAGCTTCCAATACTTTTATAGGTTGACCTCAGGAAGCCATTAACTTGCCTTCAGCCTCGCTTCACAAAAGTTATTCTCATCCCAATTGAACTAAAATACAATTTATACATAATCTCGGCCTCATCCGAACACCAGTGGCACTCTAACTCTAGGATGACAAAATTCAACTTGAACATTGATACAAAATTATGCAACTTTCCAGCATCATTGTCTTATACAGGCTCATCATCTATGAGAAAGGTTGAATTTCGCATTAGCATCCTTTTATTGCCTTCCATTTCAACACTAGATAGTAGGAAACACCTTTATCCTTCTTACTTCGAATAACCATACAAGTTCCATATTTTTTTTGCCTACCTTTTTAGACTGTGCACTATAAAGTAGTTGTTACTGTGTCCTGAGAAAGTCTCTTCTGTTTCCAACCGATTCGTGTAGTCTGTCCTGTCTGTAGGTCTGCTCGACAGCTTTCACCGTCACCTTAGAAAAAGTGAAAAGTCACCGTTTTTCCCACCATCAACAGCTCTTCTCTCGCCAAATTTATTACGATGGTGTTCTGATCAAACAACCGAAACTCTGGCTCGACTCCACGCGTCAAAAGATGCAGGTTGTTGGTGAAGAAATATCCTCAGCTGCACACACGCACGTTGAGGTGATGTGAAAACTCCCACTCTTCGCTTCCCTCCTCTTTTAGTCAACAATCCTTTCTCGACTTGACTCTACCTCCGTCGCCATGACGACGTGATGCCGGCAACCAAAGGACCGAAAGTAAAGCCTAATAAGTGTACACCCTTCGAGTCCTGTCCACTATGAGGATGAGCCTTCCACTTTTTCAGGCTGCACAACATTGTCAAATCGTGCGTCGTGGAGACAATTTCGGTATGCACTTAGACGCCAACACAACCCGGAGTGGGCTTTAGCCAGGCAGAGAGAGGCCTCACTGTTTGGGAGCGAATAACGTCGGTCCGTCTGCCAAATGCGTGGATTGCTTGTCAAGTGGATAATTAACCTATGTCAGGCACAACCATCTGTCGCATGTCGCAATTTTTTCAGGTTATTTTTGGTAAAAATTAATTTCATATCATCAGTATTAATCATCTTCATCTTCCGGCTACAACTTCAGCAAATATGACCTTAGTCGACACCGAGCCTGCTACACGCTCTCAGTTTTTGCTGGAGTCAGTCTCCGTTTTCCGCTTTTTCTGACAGCCCAAATTGCCTCGATGCCAAAATGGCTTGGCAGGTTGGGGCCGGGCAGACGAGGCGGTGATCTGATTAAATGGCCACAGCTCAAGCAGTACCAGTTTTGTCGACCCTTTGATAAATGCATCTCTCTCGATGAGGTGTGCCCGGGTCGGCTGTCCTCTTTAAATGAATTGGGATACAATCCCCCCTTTGCGGTACATCACTTCAGGCTGCATTGGCAAATGTGTCGTCGCAATGTGTCTCAATCCTCATTCTGGTCCGACAACATAAACATTGATACTCGAGAGAGAATTGTAGTTTTTTGGCCATGACGGCTCAGACCAGACCAGATAGCTGGTGTACAAAGGTGTGATCTGTCGTCAGGACGACTAGATGGACGCATCCTGTTCGTTCTGATCTGCCATAAAGGTTATGATAATTGCCGGTATCACAAAGGGGATATTTGTGAGAATATACCAAGTACATGATCCGAGACTAGCAATTATTATAACTACTATATGAGATGGAAAACATCCGCTCTACTCATATCATTGTAGCAAGATTAACTACCAGTGGTTTATTATCTTCAACGAAATAGGATGTATATAGCTCATATATCTGATTTATTGATAGTCTCAAAAAGCTACTTATTTATGAAAAAAATAGTCGTCGATTGCTATAGCAAATATAAGTTTGCTTCATCGACAATCCCATCACAACATGTGATATGGAAAATGCCTGACATTCTTTGCAATTCACATCTGTTCTGTGACCCAATGGTACCCATATATATATGATGTATTCACCCTATTTCGTTTAAGGTGATAAATGACTGGTAATTGAATTCTCCCACAATCATATGAATAGAGCAGACGCTTCCATTGGATCTCACATAGCCTAGCTTTTCCAAAAGGTGTTCTCATCCAGGCTGGATTACAGTTTCGACCTTGCATAGTTATTATTAACACCCCCTGTGGGAGTCGAACCATGGCAGTATAGCTTGTAGGCTCGACACGTTGCCCACTACCCCACATTGTCACGAGTGCCCTTAGGTCACAGGGAAGATGTGAATTTCAAGCAAGTCTAGGCGTTTCCCACATCACATTCTTTGGTGGGATTGTCATTGAAGAAAAGTTAGATTTGCTATGACAATCGACCATATTACTTATTTTTCGTTTATAAGTAGCGCTTTGGGAAAGCAAGACTAGGCGAAAGTTAATGAAAGCGTCAGCTCTACTCGTATCATTGGGAGAAAATTCAACAACCAGTCCTTCATCCCCTTAAACGAAATAGGGTAAATGCGCCTCATATACCTGATTTACTGGTAGTCTCGAAACCCTACTTATAAACGAAAAATGGCTTCTATAGCAAAGGACTTCGGAAAAGGGGCGTTCATATCGATCAAACCATTTCAACACACAGCGAAAGCAGACTCTTTAACAAATGGAAACATGAGGCCTATTCATAGCACTGTGGGGAAATTTAACTACCACTCCTTCATCACTTTAAACGAAATATGTTGAATGCTGCTCTTGTATCAGAACTACTGATAATTTGGGAAACCTGGTGATAAGTTGAAAATAAGTAAACTGATGCTTGATCTTGTACTAATGATATGTGCTCAAGTGTGTGAATGCAATGCATTGTGTCTATACCACAATTGAATGATGTGACGAGTCAAAGTACTTACAGAATTCGGGGCTATTCAAGCCTCCTCTTGTTGAGCGTTTCTTCCTGTTCCTTAGGCCTACACAAAAGCCATAAAATCAAACTAGTTGTTTTGCTACACTGAAGTCCATTTTTTGTCCTACAATAAGGACTTTTTCTGCCAGTTCCGACTTACGGATCCATTTCCATTCGCAGGCGATTTTGCATACAGATAATCTCTTGCTCGTCAGTCACTAGTTTCCTCCTCCATTGGTAATTACCATATAAGGAACGAAACCTTTTAGTAACCTGATAATTAAAAGAGATAAAAAACTTCTTGAAATTAGGTCATAGTTGAGGAAAGTGTTCCTTTTTCCTTATACATTGATTTGAAGTTTCAGTTCCGCCCTATTTTACTCACCTTTTACGAAAAGAGACATAACGCAAATAGCCGGAACCGAGTAGAATGGTACATTTGCCTGTCCTTTTCTAGGTAACTGTTTCGCTGGAATATGTTTATAGTAGTAGCAGTAATTGTTGTTATTATAACGAAAAGTACTTTTATACTGATACTAGTGATTCATTTAAGTTTTTGCAAA